ATATATATATTTGGAAGCAGAAGTGGCATCCACTTCCTAAACAACATACCTCTGGAAACTCTATGAACTTTGATAAATGTCAATAGTTATAGAAAGGCTTCAGGCCTTTTGTTCATAGGGTCTCTATGACTTGTGCTCGATTCAACAGCAATCATCATCATCATCAACAAAAACATACATATTTACATCGGGATGGATGTGTCAGAGGCAATGTGATTGGCACAGGATAGAGCAGGGTTTAGGGCTGTTGTACATAGGGTCGCTATGAGTCGCAAACGACTTGACAACACATAACAACAACAACAACAACATGTGTGTGTGTGTATATAAATGTGCATATATAGATAATGTCAATAGTACATAAAAATCTTTGGCTATAACAGAGGGTCACTAAATTCTATTTTAGTCTGTTTTCCACCTTTTATGATTGGTATCCACAAGACATTCTTATTCTACCTACAGCTGAGTCTTTTTCACTTGATTCTTAATATTGATATTTACATCTCTACAATTGGCCAGTAAGCTTTGTACTTTTTTTATGATCATATTTCTTTGTATCTTAAAAAACTGGGCCACATTTTACTAGTCACACACTATTTATTTTTATAATCACACTATTTTAAAATATGTTACATAGTTTTTACTGAATATCATCTCTAAATTGGGTGGATTTGGTTTTTGTGATTTTTTTAAAAATAAATGTTCCCTGCTAGGCCAATTTTATATTAAAGGTAAAATGACAAGAAAAGAGAAAGAGAAAAAAGAGAGTTACATTTGTGCTAGTACTGTAGAAAGGGAAAGCAAAAAATGAAGAATTATTGAGCAGTCTTAGTAATATCATCAGAGGAAATGTTGCTGGTGATATTTAAAAAGTAAGCAGTGCAGTGCTATATCAACATATAATTTCCATGAATTCAAGGTGGAGTCAGAAACACACAGCAAAAAGGACTATCATTGGTGGTGTCAGATTGTTATTGAGAACATTCAATACAAGGAAGTACTTTCTCTGTTTCATTGACTTTAGAAAAGCATTGGTTAATGTGAGTAGTAATGGATGATGGATGATGACATGGCAAAGACAGGAATTCAGGAATACTTAATATTTGCATGAAACCTGTACATATACTAAAAACAGTCCTTCAAACAGAACAAGGGAATACTGTTTGTTTAATAGAAGGAAAAGTGTCTGCCAAGGTTGTATCCTTTCACCGTATTTACAAAATCTGTATATTGAACAAATAATACAAGAAGCAAGACTACATGAAGAACAAAGCACCAGAGTTGAATAAGCAGACAACATAACCTTGCTTCAGCATTAACTAACGGATATCATACTTAAACATTAAGGAAACAAGCCTCCTCACAACTGGACCAACATCATGATAAACAGGAACCACTGAAGTTGTTAAAGTCTTCATTTTTTTTAATGAATTTATTCTTTTATACTAGTTTATTTACAAAATTAAAATACATTGTTTTTCACACCACATCCTTCCCGTTTCCCTCAGCACCCCATCAAATTGTACAACCCCATGATTAATCACACCTCCCACCACCCCGCCTTGCACGTCCTCACCCATCTGCTTCCCTTTGGATCCTCTTACTCATCCTACAATAATGGTTTTCATTTTATTTGGATCCAAAACTTTCATGGAAACAGCAGCTGAGAAATCAAAAGGATTTCTGCACTGAGAAAATCTATTGTAAAAGACCCCTCTAAAGGGTCAAGAAGAAACCAGTTGAAAGACAAAGGTAAACCTGACCTGAGCTGTGGTATTTTTCAAAGTCTTCATAAATATGTGAAAGCTGGACATTTAAAGGATATCTTAGAAGAACAGATGCCTTTGAATTATGTTTTTGTGAAAGATTATTGGATACACAATGTTCTCTGTTTTAGAACATCGACAAGAACTTTCTCTAGGAAGTGTAGTCAGAATGAACCTTAGAAAGGAGGATGATGAGACTTTGCCTAGGAGCTGTGGCATCCTAGTGAAAAGAAGCTGGGCTGCAATCTCAAAGGTGCAGAGTTTGAGGCCACCAGCTACTCCATGGGAGAAGAATAGGCAATCTCCTCCCATGCAAACAATTGCCTCTGAAAACCTGCTGGAGGGTCAGCTATTGGGCTGGTTCCGACTCTGTGGTACACAATAACAACAATATAGTCATGTTATCAGGGGGACCAGTCCCTGGAGAAGAACGTCATGCTTGGTAAAGTAGATAGCTGACAGCAGTGAGGACAAATCTCAAGGTGATGCATTGCCACAGCTTCTGAAATTGTTCCTTCAAACACAGCAGTGGAGGCGAGGACAGAGCATGACATAGCGGCGTCTGTCTGCTGTTTCTTCGGAGGCAGAATCCAGTAAATGGGATTTCACAACAGCAACAACATCTGAAACAGAGTAACTTGCTAAGAAGTAGAAATGATGAGAACCCTTGCTGTTACTTTGTGATCTGAAGAAAATACCATTATCTTTGTTTCTATAGGACAAAAACACTGTATATTTGAAGGAAAAAATTTGAAGTTATTTATCGATTTGCCTTACTACTTCCTAATTTATAATAAACCATTTATAACAGATAACATTAAGATTTTCCTGGGTGGATGAGTTGTCTTGATTGGCAACTTGGCCCTCCGTATACTTTTTCCCTGTTAGAATGATTTAAAGTATAAACGTTTGAACCAATCAAATCTTTGATGCAAAAACAAAGACAAGTCGTTGCTACTTATCTTTACCCTCAAAAGAGAGAGATTCTAGTAAAAAGTCCTTTAATATTTGACATTTTCAAAGGCAAATAGATACTCATTCATTGTACCTGTTCCACTTTCTTCTAGCCTCAATAGATGTGTTCCCCCTGTTTTTCAATTCCTAGGATATTTTGAAGTAGTTTATGGAACTTTGAATGAACATAATCCCTATTGTGCGAAAGCATTAAACGAGGCTGTCAATATGGTGGCTGAGAAACTACAGCGTCAGGAATACTACAGCTCACTCCAAGCTGACTTCAAGTAAGTGGATTGGCCTGCGTGTGAGAGGGACTGTGCCTAGATAGAGTCGCTCACTTACTCCTCACCTGCACTTGTGGCTAGCTCACCGCTCACCCTCCAGGGGTTTTCAGAGGCTGTAAATCTCAAGGCAGGAGATTAGCTCTCTTTCTCCTTTGGAGTTGCTGTTGGATTTGAATTACCAGAGACATTGCAGCCTTTGTTTAAATAGGACAACTCCCTGCAGACTATGCCACCTGAGTGCCCTGCCTAAGTGTAGTCTGATAGATAGTTGAATTTATACTGATAGGATTTCAGTGAACATTAAGTCTCATGATCTTAGGTGAGAGATATTTAAAACAATTTATTTATTTAAAGTTTGCTTGGGATTTGAGTGCAAGTTTGCCGAGCAGATTTCTATTCTGTCCAACCCTTTGTGCAGATTTTGTGACGTGGATTACAGTCCCTTCATCATCTCTTTGCTCTTTTTGTTATTTCTTTGTTGTTTTTGTTTCGGTTCGTCTGTTAATCCTCTCCTTTCCTTCTTGCCTAACTTTATCCCAGGGGCAATGTTGCCTTTATGTCTTGTGTTGGTTTATCCTAAGGACTCAGTACCTCCCTCAGGTTAGTGTTCACCTTCTTGTCATTGTCTAAGTACTCTTGGCCTGATCTGACCTGCAGCTGACCCTCCAGTGGGTTTTCAGATGCAGTAAATCACATGGGAAAGGGATTACCCATCTTTCTCCCATGGGACAGGTGGTGGGTGGGTTCATTTCAAGGGCAAAGTAAAATGTTTTCATTTAGATTTTTTGTATTGAATAAGTAAATATTTGTTGTTTAATATTTGAATAGCCATAACTGACTGACTGTAGCTGACTCTCTGGCAGGTTTTCAGAGACAGTCAAGTGCACAGAAGAGATTGCCCATCCTTGGCAGAGCAGCTGGTGAAAGTGAAAGCCTTTGGGAATGCAGCACAGCTTCTTACCTCTTGGCCACTAGAGCTCTCTCTTTCTCTCTCTCTCTCTATATATAGATATAAATAAAATATTTGTATGTATAATGTTTATATATAATATTTATATTTATAGTTATATTTATATTTTCATTTTTATTTTTATTTTTATAGATAGAGATAGATAGATAGATGATAGATAGATAGATAGATATAGATAGATAGATAGATAGATAGATAGATAGATAGATAGATAGATATACCACTATAGCTCTCTCTCTATATAAACATACACACATCCTAGAGAGGGTAAAATTGGATTGCTCCTTGGAGGCAAGGATTTTGAAGCTCAGTCTTACATATTTTGGGCGTGCTGCTAGGAGAGGCTATTCATTGGAGAGAGACATCGTGCTTGGGAACGTGGAGAAGGGGTGTTGGAAGAGAGGAAGACTCTTAGCCAGGCAGATTGGCACGTTGACTGTAGCAATGGGCTCAAGTGTGTCAGAGATTGTGAGGATGGTCCAGAATAGGACGACACCTAACAACAACAATATGCAGAGTAGCTTATGGTAAGGAATTGAGCTGCCACCAGCTGTTTCATGAGAAAAAGATGGGCAGTCTCTTCCGCTGTGACTTCCTGTCTCTGAAAACCTGTTAGAGGGTCAGCTTCCAGTCAGTTCTGACTCCATAGTTATTACTACAACTACTATGTATATATTTATATTTATTTTTATGTTTACATTTATGTTTACCTTTATTTTCTATTTATACTTATATTAATTATTCATACTTCTGAAAAGTTTGTTGTTGTTGTTTGATGCCATGGAGTTGGCTCCCATTCATGTTGTTCTTAGGCCCATTCAAGCTGAATTGACCACAGTTAGCCAACGTACAAGAAGCCCTGCCTGGTCCTGATAAAAATGATCTTCTTATTTGGAAGTTCTTCTTGTGTTTCGTGTTTGAAACACTTAAAAGGAGTCAGCTTATTTTTCATCCCACAGTATAAATGTTATGAGGATATCTCAGATTCACCCATGTGGAACTATTTTCTACACTTAAATTCCGATGTTCAAGTTGAAATAGAACTTCACTGATATTCTGTTGTTTGCTTTCCTTCAGGTTATGCACCCCTGTTCAGCAGGATTCCAACATGAGTCGAACCTTTTTTCTTGAAAATTTGGTGACTATGGGTGTGATTACTTTTGAGAATACAAAGAATAATTCCAACATTGTGGTAAGAAAATGAAGGGGAAATGGTGGTTGGGAGGACCTGGATAAAGAAGAAATCAAGGAGACAGCCACTAGTTGTCTAATTGTCATAAGTTAGTTTTAAAGACAAAGATACAAATGGCATGAGTGTTTGCTAAAAAATTCAAATTGTAAATACAAGCTTTCAGGGTGAATATAAAACTAAATGGTGAAATATGTCAGCCAGGAAATAATTTTAAAATCTCATAACTCCCCCTTTCTCATCTATCGCTTGAAATAAACTTAGAAACTCTTTGGGAAGAATAGAATATTCATTTCATAGGTTAGCATTCGACCAAATAATTAGTACTAGGTTTCAAGCAATTTTAGAAAACTACTCTCGTATGTAGAATACCCTAAACCTGAACTATTTCATAGAATTAACTGCCTCTGAAAACCTATCCCAGAGGGTCAGCTATGGGTTGGTTCCAACTCTACAGTTCTCAACAACAATGATAAGAAAGAAAAAGATTTCTTTATTTCCTCTGTAGTTGAAAGAGTAAGACATAGTGACTTTTAGTGATTTGAGTAACTCTTGGATGTAGAAAATGTGGAAGAAATCCTATCTGGAAAGATAACCACAGCTTTTAGCTTTTCTGATGCATCTGATGTGACAGGTTATGGACTAAGGCAAATTTTAAAATGGAAAACTTATGGACTTTGAAATTCCTGGAAAAATTGTTGACTTTTATTTTGAAAATTAGAGGACTCATGCTTTTTTGAGGAATGGCACAAATTAAGGGACATATCTCTGATTTTGGGGCATCTGACCAGGTAAATGGGATGATACCATCGTATCCAAGACTATTAAAATGACCAAGAGAGTAAAAAGCACAGCTTTCTGCTGTAACAGTGGACATGAACAAAACCAAGGGGACTAGGGCAGCTTTCTGTTAGAACGGTGGGCAGTCTTGAAGAGTTCTGCAACTTGTGCAATAATAGTTTTTAAAACTTTGTTTTTAATTAATTGTAGACTCACAAGGACATACTAAAAGTATAATGAGAAGTCCCATATTCATTTCACCAATCTATTATCCAATATTAGAATTATATATAATTCTAAAACTTTACACACACACACACACACACACACACACACACACACACACAAGAAGAAGGGCAATTTCCTCCCATGTGATTCACTGCCTCTGAAAACCCACCAGAGGGTCAGTTGTGGGTCGATTCCAACTCAACAGTACACAACAACAACAACAAGGTGCAAATAAAAACACTGTGGGCTGGAATACTGATCTGTCTTTGGCTGCACCAATTTTTTACATGGACTATTATTTTTTTCTTTTTTGAGGGAGGTGGGGGGGCTGGTTAGTGAGTAATGGGGCTTGATATTTAGAAATCGAGAATGTTCCACTCAACTTCTGAAAGTCCTTGTGGGTAGAGTGTCTTACATTTCCTCTTCCTTCCTTCCCTTGCTCTTCCTCACCCTTTGTTTCTCCTTCCTTCCTTCCTTCCTTCCTTCCTTCCTTCCTTCCTTCCTTCCTTCCTT